GATACCTATTGAGCATTAAAATTCAATTGTGATATTCTTTTCGGTAGTTTAGCTGCTTTCGTTTTTAAGTTCGATAAAATTTCGGCGTGCAGTTCAAACCACTACAAGTATAATATATATGCATGTATATACATATATATTGTATAGTATATACAAATTCATATTGAATTATTTAAGCATTAAAAGATCCAGTTATGGACATTTTTTATTTTCTATTTGTTAAGTTTTCAAAATTTATCGCTATATTTTTACAAAATTTATTTATAATTAATTTTATTTAAATATGTAATTAAATAATCATAAATAAACTAAATATTACGTGAAAAAAATATTAAATAATCAATTTTATTTTAAAAAATCCCTAAAAAATCCCAAAAATCCAAAAAAACCCCAATAAAATCCAATAAAACCCAGTGGGTTGTTTTAAAAAAAAAAAACCCAGGTTTCCAACCCTGGTTCAGACTCCCACCCGATTGCTCCTTAAATCATGTTATCCTTAAGTCTGTCTGTTTTTTATTCCTGCATTCTCTGAACTGGTGAACACGGTGCAATAAATTGAAGTAAAACAAATATACGTTTCACTTCAACTTGTTGCACTGTGTGCACCAATTCAGAGAGTGCAGAAATAAAAAAATCAACCTCTTATTTAACATTCGGAACAAGGATAAAATGATATCTGAGAGGGACACTTTGAACATAGCCTGATGTGGTTTATCATTCTAGAGAGGACACGTCAAAAACGTTTTAACTCCTAAAACATATTACTCAGTCAGAAATAAAGTACCGAGACTACAAAGTGGATCAAGTCTAGTTTCGGAAAAATTTGAATCAAGTATTTAGAGTTTGCTTAAACAGTCTTAGACGCCTCGTTTTTCACAATCCAAGAGGACTATAAACTCTGGAAGGATCTGCGATTTTGATTTGCTTTAGTTTTATTCCCCCTGTTTGGACTTTCGACTCTCTTAAACGTGTCACGGTATCCACGCGATAAATATATGTATTCGACCTCTTCGAGGAAGTAGAAGTCACACTTTTATTCACTTTTAATATAAGGCCTTAAAACCTTTGTATTATACTTTTCGCTACAAGCTTAAACCTTTTTACTATCTAAACTGCCCTAATTAATTCGTTACACATTGGAGCAATAAGTAAAGACACAGATGAAGTGATCATCGTAACTCGAATGAACAAAGACCTTCTTAATAATTATTAATACGGAAAACCACGTGAGGCGCAAATAGAATCAAATTCGGATCTGAATCGGATTGTGAATCCACGGAGACCAAACACTCGACGCCTCGTCTGCCGTTAACTATTTTTCGCATTAATCACTTCTTTTTTTCTATCACGCCCCTTGAAAATTTGTTTTACTCGGAATCAGTTTCCTTGAAACGGAACTCGTGTAGCTTGGTTTTGTTCACTTTGTATTCTCAGCACTTCACATCAATTCGTCAAAAATCAATCCCCGTCCTTCCGGGACGACTTAACGCGCGTCGGTATGTTACAAACTACGATTATTATCAGCTATATTTGTATGTGTGTGTTTTATAATCATGATATGACGAATCATGTTTTAAAGCCGTGAGATGAAAACGCTCGAGTTCTTTACGATCTACTTTCTTTATCTTTTCTTTTTTTACCTTTCTTCTCCTCAAATCTCCAAGCGCGTCCCCGATTTATATCAACTATCAAAAATTTACATTTATTAATATCAAAGCGTAAAGAATACAGATATTGTATCCCTTCTTCTCTCTCTCATAGGAGGAAGGGAGAGCAAGAGTAAGAGAGAAAATGCAAAAAACCGTTTCTCTCCCTCTCCCTCCCTTTTTGCTCGTTTTATTTACCGTAATGTTTCTCTTTATCCATCTAATAAACATCATTACTTTCATACTTATCATACCTAAACTACTTTGTGTTTTTTTCTAGTTTTTTAAATCTTCTATAATATATCCACGTATGCATGTGTGTGTACCCGTATATACATTGAGAAACCTATTTGATTGAATCAAACAAAATTTTTTGGCTGACCGATTTTATTCATTGAATTTGTAATATATAAGACATATATATACCTATTGTGTTTATTATTTCGTAAGAAGATTTTTTTATCTTTTATCGACTAGAACTTTTTCCAAGAAATATGAAAAACAAATAAAATTACAATATATTAATTTTTTGATTGTATAAATCTGTTACGTTTCAGCAAAATTTTCATAGTAGCATCAATAATGATGACAATTGTTTTGTTATAACAATCAAAGAATTTGTTTGCCCATATCCAAACAAAAGATTTAATTGATTCAATCAAATTGTTTCATTCAATTAAATGGTTTCTCAATATATACACGTATATAGATATATATGCACTTTATATCATTAGTATTATCAATTAAAAGTTAATACTATTGAGTCATCATCACAGCTAATTTCCCATCGACTCTTTGTTAAATGATTGATTTCCATCATTCGTGGCCTCCTCCATTTCCTCATTTTCTTGCCTCCCTCTCTCTCCCTCTCTTTCTTTCCCCGCCTCTCCCTCTCTCATCGCGTATCCTTTTTCACCGGTTCTACATTCGCGCTATAAAAAGATCGATAAGAAAAAAATCGAGTCTAGCGCTCATTACCGTCCTCCGAAAATCCCGATTACACGTGACTTTCAACACGAATATTCAAATCTTTTTTAGCAACGCGCTTCTGAAATTTCAAGGAACAGGACGAGAACGTTTGTACCGTTCAACCCGCGATCGAACATTACGGAAGATACTCCTTTTCTTCCCCTTATCGAAGCTACAATTTTCACGTTCACGCAGCTGATATTTACACATTGTTATTCTGGCGCAAGCGTCTTCGCGACAACAGATACACACGTTTTTACTTGTTCCGTATATCCTTCTGTCTCCCTTTCTTTCACCGGACGGCAGTGTTTAATTCGTTTTTTCTCGCCCCAAAGACCTACTGCGAATTCTGAGACCATGACGATATATCCAACCCTGAATCGGTCAAGATCTCTCCTTCTAATCACACGTTGACTTAGCTATCGTGACTGACTCGAAGACTCTTACACACATTCTACAATAAACCACTATTTAAGCTTTAAGTCTTAATAAATCGAAAGTTATAATCGAAAGGCTAATCGACTATAATCCAGTCCATTTTTAAGACTTAAGAAGCACAGAACATACATAAAGCACAAGAGAATCACTAGTCTTTTACTTTGTAGAAAGGAAATAAAGGAACTTTGATTCGTTTTCTTCTGCGTATAATCTTCATTATACGTTATGCAAGACTTCTGTACTCCTTCCCTTAAAGCTTAAAGTAACAGTAGAAAGCCTATTATTGTAGAAAGCCTATTACGATTAAACGATTTTCAAAATTGTTCATAGAAACTTGCCCGCTCCTACAATCACTACTGTTCGCGCGAACCGTATACGGAAAAAGCGTCTACGAAAAGCAACAATTAACATATATAAAAGATAAATGCTTAAAAAAAAAAAAATTACAGCACAAATTTTATATATGGCGTTTAAAATAATGCAATACGCTTCGTTAAAAAGCAATGCAAAAAATATATAAACAACGCGATATAAACAATTCCATACGATTCTGTCCAAGGAGCTGATTTGTCAGTCACAAATCAAATCGGAAGCTGTGCAAATAAGTGCGGATACGTATTAGAATCGTTCCAATCCGATCGAGACTTTAAATATTAGATTAACAAGCTTCCAGCTTGACAATTTCGATAATTAGTCCGACAAATTTTCAATTTAGATTGTGTAATACATACACATTATATATATATATGCATCATTTGAAGTATTATGAACTCTCATAACGTCACTCCAAAACCGTTTCCTTAAAAATTCCTGTTTGTGTAGCACTAATACACTACGCTATCCAACGTTTTCAAAAGACAGTTTTGGAATACAATCGCAAATTGGCCAACAACATGTGGAACAATACTGGAGTGATATCTTGGCCTCTCCAAGACATTAATCGGTATCGTTCAATGTGTCGTTGTCCAACCCACGAAAGAATAAGAAAAAGAATCGAAAAATAGAACAAAAGAAAAAGGTAATGTAATGCAAAACAGATTTGCACTCACTCTACTCTACAATTTAATCGTTTTATCTCTTTGTACGGTCACGTAGAATTAAATTCCGACACGATCAGTTCGTTCTCCTTCATCGATTCTCGTGTTAAGACACGTGCACGAATTCGTTATCGCCGCGAACGGCGAGCAAATTAAATTTTGAATGTGAAAGCTGTAAAAGACGAAAAAGAAAAAAAACTGTGCTGTGACGATTCGTAATTCTTGCGCATGTAAATCGAGCTGCGAGGGGCAAACGGAAAACGAGTTGCCAAACTCTCTCCGCATATGTTAATCCCGAGGTTATCGATTTCCTCTCTCTTGAACCCGGTCGCGTACGATGTTGAGAAGGATGGAAAAAAAAAAATGAAAGGGAACGTCTCGCGCACATTCGATCAATTTACATCTGACAAACATCCGTTGTCTCTCTGTCCGTTGTAGAAACATGTCTTCCTTCGACAATTTTCGACGTCATATGTAGATCAAATCAGCCGATCGTTACTTCAACGCACGACCGTGTGTTAGATACCGTTCGAGGATTTTTCACCTTACAAAACTACAAATACGGAGCGAGCAATCGAAAAAAAATCAAAATCGCGCGTTTTGATATTGGTCTCTATCGATTTTGCGTTTTTCTACTCATTCACGCTCATCCCACATTCACACCCCGTCTCGTAAACTTATTCTTATCTAAGACTAATCGCCTACCAAAGAAAGCAATTTGTAAGAAGAGAAAATAGGTGGATATAAATGTTGCAAAAGGATTATTGCATGTTATCAGAAAACTTAAAAAAAAAAAATAAACATTAATTAAAATACTACGTCAAAGAATTTTGCTCAGTCTGTGGCATGAAATAATTTTGCTTACAAAATAAGAGAGAAAAAAAAATGATAAACGAAAATAACACACAAATTTTAAAGTTTGCAAATCTAAATCTAAACTGGCGAAACCACACTATCGATTTGATTGTGCAATGTCAAATCGATTGTATTCTCCACACTATTATATCATTAAGGCCTTAGCTTACTACTACCATTGTTATTTATTTACCCTTAAATATTATTGTTATCGTTACCATATTATATATTAAGTCCGTTTACTGTGTCCAGTATATAGATAGAAGTGTGGTGCGAGTTTGATATGACAATTGCGCCCGTAAAGCATTGTAAACAACGAAAAAGTTCAGACTACCCTTCTTCCTATACCTGTTAGCACAAAAAACGATCTCAAGAAACTCGCACGAAGGACAACTCTTCAAGGACGGGTTAAGTTACCATTAACGGCTGTTCCTGTTTTTAATACTTTTACTTATTAATCTCGGTCCCTTAGGGACGCAGCCGCGTACTACCCTTTAAATGTCATCATCCTGTCTCTTACGGCTACGATTGCGTTCTAAGAAGAAACAATCCGGTGTTACTTAAATCATGACAGTCACGACGTTAATGTTCTTTTCCCTCTTAAAAGTCTTTGTCCTCGATATCCACATCTAAATAAAGCATTGGAATAGTTAGTACTTGAATTTTTCAAATATAACAACAGTCATCGCGATGCTCAATGAGCATAGATTGAAATCTTATGAATCGAGATAAGAAAGATTATAAATTAGTGATCACTCCGTTTGCAACGGAAAAATCTGTCAAATCTTCACTCTTTCTTTCTCTATCTTTGTGTTATTGTAAAAATAAATCTTAAATTTACATTACATGCAATTAATTAATTTTGTTGAAACATGCCGAAAATCGAGAGCACGAGAAAAGTGGTCGAATTTTCCGCAAATACATTATGATGATCATCATGATGCATTCGCGAAGCGAACAAAGCATCCGTTCCACCCTCGCCTCTCTCATTCAAATTTCTCTCGATCACCTTCCTTCTTATGTCGGTCACGTTCAATTAACCCACTCGCGTAACACGCACTAAGAAACTCGAAACCTTATACACCTATCTCACGTAAAGAGTAACTATTGGCAGAGAGTAGCAGAATAGCAAGAAAATAAAAATATTCCCAACAAAAAAAAAATGAAAAAGAAAAGTAAACGGAAATTAAAAAAAAAAAGCTGCATGAAATAAATCTCTTATACGAAGCCATGTCTTTTTACAATCCATAATACCAAAATGATAAAGCTCGCGAAAGAAACTGTTAATAAAGAAGTATACTGATAACGATCATTAGTCGGGCGGCTATTAAATAATTGCTTGTCCAGCATCTCCGTGCTACGGATCTTTGTCTCTAATGTCGACGATTAGAGCACGAGGGGATAATAAAAACGCGTATTCGAACACCGGGTTGTTGTCTCGAGAACGGCATGAAGCGCGAGCTTTCAAAAGTCGCTTTGGAAAAAGCGGTCACGAAAAAAATCATCGGACGCTTCTTTTTTTTTTTTTTTTTCAACGCGTCGATATTGAAGTCCATCGTTTGACAAAAAGTCGCGAAGCGTAACTCCGCTCGTCCGCGCCTGTCGTCTCGTCAGACTGAGGATGTACTCTTTCTTTCTGTGTGTGTCGGATGTTATAGATAATATATATATGTATGTACGTGGGGCTCTCCTTGTGTTCCTTTTTGTAAGTTTAGCGGTATACGATAATCTAAAATACAGTATTACTTACATTTTGTCACAATGATGGCGCGTGATGGGAGTTCCAGAACGCATATATATACATATATAATGTATCTCTCGCGCGCACACATCGATCGCGGCATCGGGACGCACCGATGCATCGCGTCATCAGCCCTCTCCCCCCCCCCCGCGGTGCATAGTTTATATATAATACGATTTGAAGTTTGTATGCTGGATGTATCTTAGAGTAAAGAACGGATTACGAGTATCCACTCGCGCGATAAAATCGAAAACCCGTGTGTATATGAACCGTACACGGTGTCACCATCATCGTCGTCATCATAATCTTCACATTTTTTTCTCATCATCGTCGGTATCATCGTCTCTCTTATTCTCGCAGTCTTTTCGGCCGATGATTTTATCGACGATAATTCCCTATTATACCTGATTCTTCCGGAGCTGTTGACGGTCGCCGCTTCTCCCCTCGCGCGTTGCTGGTATATACGTTGGTTTTTGGGTATCAGGCCTGGACGTTTAGCACTATACGCAATTGCTTCGTGTGTTCGCTTGCGCTGTCCGATTGGCCGCAGCTGTCCATCAATCTACTCGTCCAATGACTTGGCGGTTTGGGCACACTCGCGGGTGATGGTGTTTCCGAGAACTTGGCGCCCGCGTAGAAGTTGTTGGTCGGGCTACTGCTCGGACTGCGCTGCTCGCAACGTTGTTGTTGTTGTTGCTGCTGCTGCTGCGGTGTAAGCTGCTGCTGCTGCTGCTGCGGTGTATGCTGCTGCTGCTGCTGCTGTTGTGGCGAATTTCTCGCGCTCTTAGACGACGAGTTGTACGGGCTGCAGCTTTGCCGTCCATCTTTAGCATTTCTAACCGTGTGGCGGCCGTTTTTGTATAGGAACGGCGAGGATTTACTGTTGGAACGATTATGATGATGGTTGTGCTGGTACTGATACCCGACCTTCGGTGAGGCCTGCCGATCCACCTTAGCGTTATCTAACTTGGGCGCGGAGTTCGTCATGGCTCGGATGTTTTGTCTATCTATCTATTTCTCTCTGTTTCACTTTTCTAATATCCCCTTGTTATTCAGCCAACTCGTTGGCCTGCAACACAAAGCGGTATTTGTGCATTTTTAACTTTTACTTCTACCTTTTTCTATGAAAAATATCGTAACATTGATTTGTATTTAAAGTATTATTTTTTCATTCAAAAAGAAGAAACGCTGCTTTCTTTATGTTTAAAAAAATTAAGTAATACTTATTTTCTTTGTTTGGAAAGGAAAACGATAACATTATCTCTGACAAAGCTAGTTAAATACTTATTGTAAGAATATTTTAGTAAATTATAAAAAAAAGTTTTCTTCTCTTCCCTAAAGATTTCATTTAATTAACTAATCTTGCTTTAGTCAAAATGCTGGAAGTTATACGAATAAAAAATGCTAAAGCTATATATAGAGATTTCGCTGAAATTGATTTATGATAAATTATCATAGATAAAAACAAAATCTCATTAATACTAATTATTTTATACCACTCACTGTTTGCATCACATAAAATAAAATAATTCCCTATATTAGATTATTTAGACCCACTTTAAGCGAGACTTAAAACTCTGTCTCGTTTTGAAGCTAAAAAGAGACAGAGACAGAAAGAGTTTAAGCCTCACTTAAAATCAAAGTAACATTGGTGCAATTAGATCTTATTCCTACATTGCGGCATATTCAAAAGAACATGCAACTGTAGTGTAAATGACAATATTTGAATTTGTAATATTTATGTTTACATAACAAGTTAGAGATATAAAATTCCTTGATAGTTATATGGTTTTTAATCTTATCATAAGAAAAAATAAATGGATACTTCTTTAAATATTCAAATATAGTAAGACTAAATTTATGTTAAAATTTTATCTTTATATTGCATTATAATTTGTAAATAACTTTATATAATGATAGAATGTTAGCATAAAAGCATATATGCATATTGCAATATTTAAAAACAGACTCTGGCTATAATACAAATCAGCTTCATATACACTAACAAATAGAGACGTGAAATGTTCAATAAGAATCAATTCTATACTTTCTATCATACTTTCACCATCAATACCATTTCTGGAAGACAGAATTGTTTGTGACATAGTAAAAAGATTATTTAGTTTTTAGTTCATTAAGAATTGAAGAAATAAACACATTATGTATATATTAATGTATATTAAAAAAAACTGGAAAATATAAACAAAATATATAAGAAAAGAAAAAATTTATAAAAATTTGACTTTATTTTTATGTGCTTTTGGTATCCATAACTTTAAATAACTTAATCCTGTTTTTTTATATTTTATAATATAAAAGTTATTTTTATAATCACCAAAAAAAATTTAAAGTTTTATATATTATTGATAAGCATT